CAAAACCCAAAAACGGTTTAGCCAATTAGGGATGTCCGAGACGGGGACCGAGTTTTCCTCGGAGCAAAAAGCTCCGAAGACTAGAGATAAAAAAGAGCAGTCGAGAGATTAAGTGTACGGCCTCCGAGTAAAAAAGATAAGAACGCGACGGAAATTCCGGGTTGCATTTAAGTGCATCTAAACCTTGCGATACGCCGCGAACGAATTTCCACGTCGATCGTGATATCAAATAAAGGTGTTAACAAACGATACGTGTCCGAATTATTTATCCAGCACTATACCCGCGACAAACTTCCCCAAACATCAAACGAAAGAATTTCATTATTGCGTAGAAAACAGCATTCAAGAAAATTACACGACATCTCGATGCTTCGTGAGGACCGTACTTAGAATTCTAACGTATTCTATGAAATGAAAAGCATGCCGATGAAATAAAAATTCACCAGCGCTCGATATATACAGAGGATCGGGATATATTCGTAACGAAGTGAACGAGAATTGATTTCTCGATGGGAAAGTAAATAAGTAGAAAAGAAGCGCTCCGACGACGTGAATCGCCAAGACCCGAGGAGAAAAAATTCACAAGAATATTAGCATGATTCCGGTTAACAAAGACGCGGTAAAAACGACGCGCAAGACTGCTGGTACCTCGTTTAAACAACGACCTTTCGACGCGAAAGCTGATCGCTGAGAAACTGCTAAGTTCTTCCCGGTGAACTATGAAAATCGTCGTCGAGCGCGAAGGAGGAATCACGAGGATCGGGGAAGCGTCTGCCTCGAGCAAAAAGTATTGCATAAGATGCGTAGCGAGAAACGCTGATGTTTTATGTATAGGGCTACGTTCAACGAACGCGTGTACACCGCGGATGGTGATTCCGACATAAATATTTAATAAGCTCGCCGTAAACGCAAAACGTTTCTCCAAGGATATCTGACGAGATCTGCCTGCGATCTCTGTTTTCTCATCAATTACGACGCGTACGTCTTTGTCCTTTCCTGATTTAGATTAGATTTGATTTAGAACTTCCTGCTAATCAATTATTCAGATCACCTTCTGGAATGTCCTGATCAGCCGAAATCGCCTCGGGCAAATTACCACCTTCGTTATTTCCTCGCTGAAAAATAGAGGACGAACCTTCGCTGAAAGAATAAATTATGTCGCGCAACGATCAAGTTAATTGCAACGCGAGAGAAAGAGAGAGGGAGAAAGTGAAGTGAAACCGCGATGTTGAAATCCTTGAGTGATTAATGGCGTTTTGTTGTTAATTAAACGATTATATCTGACCGTGCTCGAGGGAGATTAAATAACGAAACACCCCGGCAGACAGGTCTGATAAAAATTCACAAGGTCTCAGGAGTTCGTACCTTTATCTTCCGTGTCGCTACTTTAATTAATTAAATCGTATCAGGGAACGGCTTACATTGTCAATTAAATATTATCCATCCTCATAACGAGCAACTGGAACGAACTGGTGCAAGATGGTCGGGCGGGGGGGAAGGATTCAAGCGTTAATCGCGTTACGAGGACGCAATTAACGACGATCGAGCTGGAAGTTTAACACTCGGCGACGATCTTTCTAACGAAAAGTAATCGCGGCCTGGAAACAGGTCGACGACGACGAACCCGTCCAGGGGCTTCGGGCCGTTTCGTTTCCGGCCGAGAGAATGTAAATTAATTTGCATTTAAATGAAGGCACGTAAAAACGCCGGATAACGTCGCGCGAATGGCGGACAAAGGGGAAAAAGACTCAATTAATTACTAAAGGACCTCCTTCAGTTGAGAAGTATATCCCGCGAAGAATACCTCTTCTTTGTTTAATTCCCTTCGTGCCGGTTACATCCAGCCACTGTACGCTCCTTTCAAAATCGAATACGCCGATTCGAAAAGGCGAGAAAGCTTCTGTACGTGCAAAGATACGAAAACACAAAATTCTTCCTCCGTAGAAATGAAGAAATCTCCGGCGCGCAGAGAAGGATTTATTTTTCGTTACAGTTAAAAGCCGAGAGGGAGAGGGAGGGGGGAGGGGGGGGGGCGTGCAAGGGTAAAATTCGATACGAGCGAACGCCTTCGCTGTTCGTTCGGCTAAGTGAAACGATGCCCCGGGGGTAGGAGTAATAAGAAGCACTTAGCCAAGAACGTGTTCCTATTTCGTAATGGGAGCCAGAATTCTATCTCTTTCGCCGTATCATTGGTCGGTCTTTGCGTCCACGGTAATTCGCGCAACGATGTTAAATCGATTTTGTAAAGCAACAATTCATTCCGATTGCGCTCTCCCATTACAGCTTGCAGGAGAGGGTTTGTGAGTAACGTGAATCGTATTGTGATTGCAACCGTCTAACCTTCCCGACTTTTCATACCTTTCTCTCTTATTAACTTTCCTATTCCGCTTGTTATTTTTCCCTACTTTTCGCTTCTTTCTTGCCATACTGTCCGACAATATTTAACAACCTCACTGATGTTGGTGACTTCGTTGATAAAATGTTGCAAAAGATTCGCTAAGATCCGGTGTTAAAATATTATTAAAATATTATTATTTAATTATTAATTATTTAAAATATTATTATTTAATTATTAATTATTAAAGATATTATTATTAAAATATTATTATTTAATTATTAATTATTAAAGATATTATTATTAAAATAGTATTATTTAATTATTAATTATTAAAGATATTATTATTAAAATATTATTATTTAATTATTAATTATTAATTATTAAAAATGTTATTATTAAGAAAGAATACAATTAATTAAAAATCGATTTCCCGTTAATATGTTAACTTCAATGCTAACGATATTGGAATTCATAATGAATATCAATAATAAATTGTTATAAATAAATGAATAAATAAAGTGCATGAGATAACAGTGATTTGATATATGTAACGAATGTGCGTAATAGATGTTGTGTACTCACTGCATATGGAGGATCGGGACTGATCGGTCGGAGAACAGGACGACCGGTCGATCGAAACGTTCGTTGAGACCGCAAACTCGACCACCACCTTCGAGCTGAAGCCAGCCACCCTCGCATCTGTAACGAAAGGACGATTGATACCTCACAATCGGTAACTATTATTCTAACTTGACCCAGAGTCGTCTCTTTGACGTCTAGATTAATTGAACGGCTCTCTCGAGAAGAATTCGCGAGAGAAAATGGCGAACGGAGGAGCTTTACTTCTAATTTTTTAACACTGGCTGCGAATTAATAATCGCTATGGTTCTTAAAGAGATTGATCTTTACAAATTTAAAACGAGCAAAGACAGATCTGCAGGTCTTTCCTTCAGAAAGCTGTTAAATTAATTTTTCTTTTTAATAAAAAATTTTAATTTCATACTTTAACTTTTAATATTAATAACCGCCACGATTAAAAGAACTTTCCGTCTTTTTGTATTTACGAAACGAGCGAAACCAGATGCAGGTGTCCATTTTACAGAGAACTGTTTAATTACATTTTTAATATTAGTTTTTTTGAGTAAAGAACCTAAATTGCATGCTTTAATTTTTAATATTAATGATCATCACGGTTTTTAAAGAAATTTGGTCCTTCTAGTTTATTTTACGAAGCAAGTAAAACTATATGCACGCGGTGAATTAATTTTAACATTCGACTCCTCATAGTGCAGAACGTTCAAGCCTTTTTATCAAAGTAAAAACACGGTCTGTTAGTTAGAGAAACCTGTTCCACGTAGATCACGAATTACTCGATTTACAATTGAAAGACATAACGCGGTGAAGTTGATTGTTTTTCGAGGAAAGTTTAAATGGTCGTGTCACAGATTTTGGTAGACAAGTGTCGAATCACGAAACTTAATAGCCACGGGATGTATCGACATGGTATTGGCAAGTTTGAGATCAGTAGAATGGACAGTAATAGTCTTTGGGTCGTACGAGTCGATACCAATCACGCGCGGCCATGCTTCTCGATACTGATTGATCCTAGTTGTAACATGTGATATTGACGATCGTCTGGGTTACTGTACTGAAATATGAAAGCATTATTGATCCCCCGATTTCCTCTCCTTTTACGTTACTATGCAATGTGTATTTTTCAGTTCAGCGGTACTCCTCTCTTTTTCAATTCAACATACTCGTATTTTCATACGAGTGAGTTTAAAAAGTAAAAAATAATTATGATTTAGTGTTCAAAACCAATGAGTTTGTAAATTTCTTGAAAGATGTTAAAAATTATACGAATAAAACCTCATCTCGCGAAATTTCAAAGCACTGATACGTTGCGTGTAAATAAAATAAATAAAAAGAACGTGTGTTAAATATTATTAAATATTACAATTCAAAGTACCGATACTTTGCAAGATCCTTCCACAATTTATTTCCTTTCGCAAAAAAAAAAGAAGCCGACGAAGCATCCGTCAACGAGCGAACCACAAAATATTCGCAGCATCGCTACCTCACACTTTTCCCGACGGAACAACCGCACAGTTGGTTTTCGCTGGTTCGGAATTGCTTCTTCGATTGCTGGCGACTTCAAAGGATTCGTTCCACCCGTTCGCGAAGAATACGCTCGTAAATGGTTGGTGGATTGGAGTGGTTACGCAACGGGTAATACGCAACAGGGGTGGAATCGTGCTGATTCAATTCGACTCGCCGTCTCGCCTTTCCCTCCGCTAATGTAAGAGGGGAACGCTCCGTAACGTTGATTATTATCCCACCGTCAGGATCTCAGAGTGTCTACACCCCGTCTCGATTTACAATTCTCGCCAGTTTTCTTTAATCCACCGTCGCGTTCTCGCGAATAATCTTCGCGGACTTGCTTCTGGTTGAGAGCGAACGAGTGAAATAAGTACAATCCCTCGCGGAGGCGTTCCTTTTGCATTTATTTTCCGTAGATGAGACCCTCTCAGAGGAAGAATATTCGCATTTCTCTGAATATTTATCAGCGATTAAAGAATCGGTAATTAGGGAATTTTTGGGAAGGTGGTGGGGGAGGAAATGCTGGATATTCCATCTCCGATAAATTCCGAGTATTATTTCGCTTCAATGTAGCTCGCGAATGTCTGGCAGGGTAATTTCTTCGATGAAATAGGAAAAATGATTACGACCTGGTTTCCAGTTATCCGAGATTGTTCGAAGACAATGCGCAGTTGGGTAGCTGGCCAAAAGTCGTGCCATTGGAAGATATGTGACTCTGGGAGGAATTTTTTTGTATCTTCCCGATGACGTCCGCGACTATAATTCTACAATCATTGCAAAGAGCAAACTTTAAAAAGCTTCGAAATGGTCTATTTTTCAATAGGTTTGTCACGCGATTTACAAGGAAGTTCTCTTTATATCGGTGGCCCGCATGACTGGAAATTACGCAATCAGCGAAATTTTCTACACTTCTCGGTAAGTTCCGGCTATAATTTCATTTTCTCTTTACACTAAACCTACTGTGAAGAGGAATGCTTAAGCTTCAAAACTTTATACTTTCGGACCAGTGATTTTTAATAAAAAAGTAAAATTGTATATATTTTTAATAAAAAAGTAAAATTGTACGCACTACGGGTGTGTGAGAATATATTTGAAAATGGTCGGGAGAGGTTGGGTTTGGTATTAATAGTAATAAAAAAAATAAATAGTAATAAAAAAATTTTGGAATTGCCAAGAATTTAAAGTTTCCCAAGAATCTCGAATTTCCCGGAATTTGCATTGGAAGTTTCGAGTTTCCTAAGAAACATGAAAGAAAAATCTCATCCAATTGCAAGCGCACTTCCAGTAACGCGACTTTTGGCCAATTAAATCGTCCGAATAGTCATTGAACTGGCTCGGTGAGGAGTCAGTTTGAGTTTCGCGTCGATTATTTACTAGAATTCGATGTTAATTAACAGGGATGGTATCGCAACGTTAATTCGGACGTGTTGTTATTATCATAAGAAATTACACGCGACGATGCACGCGAGGGAAGCGCAATCTGGTAATTGTTTTCGTTTCCCAGCAAAATACTAACAGAGACAGACAGAGGGAGAGAAAGAGAGAGAAACTGCTAGCTGTCTGGGCGCTTCCGGCCGTCGATGAAATTAAGACAATTATGGAAATTAATACTTTTTGAAGTATAACCGCGGCGCTATCGGTCATTTAGTCGATACACTGAGACGAAACGACAAAGAAAAAGAGCGGATAATATCGACTCGTTCGGACGATTGCTCAGTCTTCTGTGAACGTCTCATAGAATTTTTCTTCGCAATTATTCAGCAACGCAATCACCGAGCGCGAGTGTTTGAACTGGGGATAAAAATCCCCGCTCTGATTCACGAGCGTTTCGCGGATGAAATAGACGACGTTCGAATCGGACGGTTTCCTTGAATAACCAAAGTTTCAAGCAAGAAATTAAAGAGGTAAGGAAAGAAGAGGAAGAGAGAGAGAGAGAGAGAGAGAGAGAGGCGGGAAAGAAAGTTTCATTTCGAGTTTGGAAAAAAGAACGAGGAAGAAAAGAAATTGCGGATACCGGTGGAATATTTGTGTACATAGTGCGAGAAAGTTTCTTGATTAACGGCAACTGCACTTAATACTTATTAACTCGGATACACCGCTATAAACTTGCATAAATTCTGCGGATTCTTTGACGAATTCCCTAACTCTCTAAACTTCAACTATTTGACTCTCTCTCTCTCTCTCTCTCTCTCTCTCTCTCTGCATACTCTCTCTGAAAACTTGTTGTAAGTGAATAATCGATTCGTTTCTTAGATGCACTATACGTCTGATCTGTATTAGATATTAGGTAATATTTTGATGATGTATTTCACACATGTACTTAAATTTTTGAGTTACTGTAAATAGTTTTGAATGTTATCTCATTGAATATTTTTGTATTGGAATTAAATATTCTCCGTGTGAAATATCAATTTTCTGTCTTTTAATGTCAATAGCAATTCCCTTGCCTGGAGTATTTTAATACATCATGCGTAGAAAATAAACGTGTCTGCTCGTGTACTATAATCAAAAAATATGCAAAAATTAAGAAATATTAAATTACATTCGAGATCGTTCTATTCAGCTCTTTCATCTCATTTTATTTCACATCAATCTCTTAAATCATCATAAAAAGAACATAACCTACATTTGACATTTGAACAACATAATTCAGATATTTAACATAAACTAAAATATCCACAATATCTCAAATATCTAAGATCTAGGAAAACTTTTAAATAGGTTACATTTGAAACGGATCGTAGAACTTTCTCGAAAGATTGTTGTTACATTACAAGTGCCGATGGGAACAAATATTAAAAATAACTTGTAAAATACAAAAACAAAAATATTTCTGCAGGAGGAACGAACAATTTGTTCATCAATATAAAAAAAAATTCTCAATATTTGTAACAAATACTGGAACTCGAATGTAGAAATGATTTTTAATCGAATGTTCCGAAATAACTTGTTCCCATGGAAGTTACTACACGGAGTCTAAAATATCTGTTCCTAAGTGTAACGCATTTTTCAATAAAAATTCCACAATGCAACAACAATTTCTTTTACACGAAATATACAAGTTCGAACAGAATTTCTTTTAAAAACAAAAGAACCTAACCCAACCCAACCCAAACCTGTCAATTTCGATTCCTGATCTAAACCAATCAAAGCATCAAAAAAAAAAAAAAAAAAAAAATCGAACACGTTATCAACAACTTATCAATGCGAAACTAAAGCCGGCCCGAAGGAACAATCGAAAAAAAAGAAAGAAACAATTTTTCCAGGCACCGATCGGTAAAAAAAAAGTCGCTTATCTCCGCGCAGCCTCGTAACTCCGATCGAAATGTTTTATCCAGCCGAGGATTAGCAACGTTGGAAAATACGCGTGGCATCGTGGATACCCGTGCATCGACAGAGCGACGAGAAACGGCGGGAGGAGTGAGGGGGGAATCGAATCCGCGTCGCTCGCCGATGCCGCGCGGCAATTAATTCAAAACCATACGTCCGATACAATGGTGAACTATGGGGTCACGTATCCGACCCTTGATGCGACAATGGAACGCGAGCCCACCGTGCCACCGTACACGTACACGCGCCGCTGTATCAAGATTTGAATG